TGAACTCAAGTTGCAGTATCAAATGTGGCTATGTGCTGATAGTCATGCTGGTCTCCTCCACAGAATTTAGCTGATGGCCCCTTTCTTCTGCTGTTTACTTCTATTGCTAAGTGCATTTTTCATATGATAATTTTTGGGTGTTTACTCTATAACGTTGTTCACTGAAACTCAGAAAGATCATGTTGTTTTCTTCTATTACGATTGTTCAGCTGGTGTAAGAGCTTTTAACTTCTCTGCTCAGCATGAAGAAAGCCATGTCACCTAGTAGTTGAAATTTGGAAGATGTAATAATGACAGAGTTGACAATGTAGTATGTGAAGTTTGTGGGAAGGAATGGGAAAGAGAGACATGCATGCGTTGATGTCATGATAAAAACTTGCTTTATCTTAAATAGTTGATAATATGTTGTGCATCTATGAGCTATTTATGGAAAAGAGTTCTTGAGTTGGTTATTTTATTCCACATTGTTATGGTCTGTTTAATGCATCAAGAGGTTTAAGGCAAGGGGATCCTCTACCCCCCCTATTGTTCATTATGGTGATGGAAGGCTTAAATGGGCTACTTGAGAGAGCTAATGATCTTAATTTACTGAGGAGTGTTGTGGTGGGGAATGGTGATAACACTTTGGAGGTGTCTCATTTATTCTTTACTGATGATACGCTTATATTTTGTCTACCAGATTTGAAAAACTTATTGCATTTGAGATGTGTTTTATTATGATTTTAAGCTGTGTTGGGACTTAAAATAAATCTCTTCAAGTCTGAATTAGCAAGAATCGGTGGCAGCGGTGAGGCTGGCTCTTTTGCTACAATTTTAGGGTGCAAGGAGGTAAAATTCCCTCTCAAATATCTTGGGATTCCTTTGGGAGCTAAATACAAGGATCAACTTACATAGGAACCAATTATTGATTTATTTGAGAAAAGGCTTGTGGGGTGGAAGAGAAACTTTCTTTCTAAAGGGGGTAGATATACCTTAATTAAAAGCACGCTTGCAAATCTCCCAATATATTATCTTTCTACTCTTACCATTCTGGTGAAAGTGGCTAAAAAACTGGAAGCCATCTAATGCAGATTTTTGTGGGGAGATGTGGGTGATAACCGTAAATACCATATTGTGAATCGGGATGCCTTAAAAGAATCAATTTCATGTGGGGGGCTTGGCTTTAGATCTTTGATGAAAATGAATGAAGGTCTACAAGGTTATTTAAAAAAAAAAATGAAGGTCTACAAGGCAAATGGTTATGGAGATACTCGAGGGAGGCTAATAGTCTGTGGAGGAGGGTTGTTGAGGCTTGATGGGGCAAATTTATGAACTCCAGTGTTTCTGACCGGATTTCTATCCCCCATGGGAGAGAGCTTTGGAGGAAGATTCTTATGTTCAGATCCTGTTTTATGCACTGCACTAAGTGGAAGCTGGGCAGGGGGAATAAAATTAATTTCTAGGAAGATAATTGGGTGGGCAGTGGTAGCTTCAAGGGGAGATTTCCAGGCATCTTTAATATTTCACAAAACAAGAATATGGCTGTTATTGAGGCTTACCAGCAGTCGAATGGTAATGTGGTTTGGTCCATAAGTGTTAACAAAAATCTAAATGATTGGGAGTTGGGGAATATGAAGGTATGTTGCAGCTTTTGGCGGAACAGAAAATTTCTTGTGTGGATGATCTACTGGTGTGGAATCTAGAAAAAAAATTGCTTCTTTTCTGTTTCTTCCTAGTATCAGTTCTTGTGCAAGGGGAGAGACGTGTGCAGGATGGCCTTTCCGGCTAAACAAATTTGGAAGACCTTGGTTCCCCCTTGTGTGTCTTTCTTTGCTTGGGAGGTTTGCTGGGAGAAGATTTTAACTACTGATAAGCTTAGAAACAAGGGCTGCATTCTGGTGAATGGGTGTTATTGCTGTTTGAAGGCGGAGGAAACTTGTAACCACTTTATTATTGTGGTGTCCTATGGCTTATGGTTTGTGGTCTTTTATTTGGGTTGCTGGGCATTAATTGGGTTATTGCAGGTTCGGTGGGGGTGAGATATGGGCTTGGGATGGTTTAAATGTGAAAAATAAGTTAGCTAATATGATCCCATTGACTCTTTTTTGGGTCTTATGGAAAGAAATGAATAGTAGAGTGTTTGATAGTGAAGTTAGTAGCATGACTAGATTAAAAAATAGATGGTTATATTATTTTGGGCCTATATTGTTAAGGTATGATATTATTGAAGATGCAGATTTTGGGATTGTCATTGATTCACTAACCTTATTGTAAATTTATGTACATGGGCAGTACCCCCATTCTTGGTACCTTGCAAATACACATTTGATACTTTTTATTTTTAAAAAAAAAATAAACTTTTAATATGCACAGTTGATTCTGAATATTATACAGTTCAATGGGGCATGTCTATCTGTTATTTTTGCCTAAAAGAAAAGAAATAATCTCTGTTCTATTTTGGTTCTTTTATTTAGGTAACTTGGATTGGTTATCCGAACACCACTGGCTTACCTACTATTGATTACAGAATCACTGATTCACTTGCAGACCCTCCCGATACTAAGCAAAAGTAAATCCTTTTACTCTTTCTGTTAATTTATTCTGTGACTCTTGTGGTTTTTATTCTTGAGCTGATTATAGTAATTTGGGGTTTTTCTATTCTAAATTAGCCTGGTACTTTTACAAAATTGCAGGCACGTCGAGGAGTTAGTTCGACTTCCAGAATGCTTCCTTTGTTATACACCTTCCCCAGAGGCTGGACCTGTTTGTGCAACTCCTGCTCTTTCTAATGGATTTATTACA